TCAAAGCTTTCTCCACCTGCAGCTCTCACATAACTACGGTTGCAATTTTCCAGGGAACCATGATCTTCATGTATTTCCGGCCGATTTCTTCCTACTCTCTTGATCAAGACAAAATGACCTCCTTGTTTTACACCCTTGTGATTCCCATGTTAAACCCACTGATTTATAGCCTACGGAACAAGGACGTAAAAAGGGCCTTAGAAAAATTGAAAAACAAAATACAGTTTTAAGTATTTATAGTCTGTATATGTGCATACACCCACATACATATCGTGATTGTTGTTTTCATAAAATTATATGGTATGATTTATCTATTGTTACAGTATTTATTATTATGGTATTTTCTCAAATACTTAAAGAAATGAGTATCTGCATTAAAACTCAACCATAACAAGACACTGTATTTCCTCAAAACTGTCATGTGTCACTGTGGTCTTCAATTTATTTAAGAAATTCATTTGTGCGAAACATTCTGACTCTTCTGATTTTCCATATATTTATTTGTTTGCTTTTCATGTAAGCTTAATTGCAAGTATACTTGGATTTATTATTGAGTGTTCACTAAGTACTTTTCATACATGTTAATATTTTGAATTTCATGATAAATACAGTAGGTTCCAAACTAATGAATCCTATAATCTAGAGGAATGAACAAACATTAATTAACTGAGCACCCAAATAAGTCTTAAAACATTCATGAGGTAAAAGAGCTGGCAGTTAAAAATCTAGAAAAAAATGTCAAAAGCTAGTGTGTAGAAGAAAGGTTTCCTTCTATGATGATGTTTAGTTTCTGATCTAATTAAAAAAAAATTAAGCTGGGGAAAATAAAAGATTCTAGGCAGAGGGTCTAACATTACAGAGGTCCTGAGGTTCTATACCATTTTGGGATTTAAATAGTCCAACATGCAAAGGTGATAAAGAGAAGTGTAAAGTTCCTTGGTAAATTACATCATTGTACTGAAATTATCCACAAGTCTTCCATAACTTCCAAAGGAAGATTTCCTTCCTATCTTCCTCCTTCTCTGCTCTGGTTAAATGTCCCTTTTTATAATTCATAGACAATGATCTCCTTTAAGCATTTTTTTTTTTTTTTTAAATATTGCTTGGCTTATTGCCTCCAAAATAAGATGGTAAGTATTCTTTGTTCAAGGATTGAGCATTCCATCCTTGTTATCCAAAGTGCCTTCGTGGTGCTGGAGACAAGAAATGGCAAAACAAACATATACCCAATGAAATATTAGATAACATTTTTAGGAGCTTATTAGACATTGGTAACACAATTAACTGAGGGTATGATATGTGATTTGAATATATATATTTTGTAATTCTCCAAAAAGTGTATAAAATGGTTGTGGATACTAAGGTAATGGATCTATAAAGAGCTACATACTAATTACATTAGAAGCAAAGAGTATTTTCCCATGTATATGCTTGGTATTTATCAATTTCATCTGTCTGTGCTCAACTTTCTGATGGCTAAAGCAATGAGTTAGCTTGTTGAGACAACATGGGTATGGCATATATTTGAGAGACTACTTAAGACTCAAGGACAGGGGTGTCTGTGTGGCTCAGTTGGTTGAGTGTCTGACTCTTGACTTTGGCTCATGTCATGATCCCAAGAGCCTGCATTGGGTTCCACTGAATGTGGAGCCTGCTTAAGATTCTCTCCCTCTCTCCCTCTCCACTTTCCCCCCACTAGCACTCTCTCTCTTTCTAAAAAAAAAAATTTAAGAAAATAAAAAAAAAATTAAATTAAAAAAATGTTTTAAAGATTCAAGGATACTCTTACCAATTGCAATCATAGAAATTAAAAGTCACTGAATGCCTTAGATTTTCCATTTGCTATTTAGAAATGCCTTTGTGTGAAAACATTTCAGAAAAGATGTAAACCTAAGATTTTCTCGTTTCCATAGGGGCATTTGTGGGACCCCTTACCTGTCACACAGTATCACAGTGGAAAAAAATGTATGGAGCATTTTCTGTTTTTAATAAAAGGAGTTAAGTGTTTCTACCTGAATGATATTTTCTCAATTAACACACACTATGTCAATATTGTTACTGATAAGCAGCAGCATGGTAGAAAACACTGTCTGAAATACATTGTCCAAAAAATGAATGGGGTGTAAGTAGATTGCTGGTAATTCAGGGAATGCATATATGTCTTCTAGGTAACTAGTCTCTCTCCCTTTCAACAGCTATACGTTACAACATCCAAAGACGGATTTGACCTACATATAGCAGTTTTATCAGATCTGGCTTGACCTAGAGGGAAGAAAAATTTAAAGAGAAGGAAATTTTGAGTCCTATGAATGGGATTCCAAATATAGAACTGACTAATTTAATTAAACATGGACTTTTTTTCCTTGAATATGAGGGGTTTAATAACACATCCTGGGGAACATTTTTAGATTTGTTGGTGGATGGCCTACAATGACTCTTCTATCTTATTTATTGTACATGAAAAAGGAGTATCACATCAAAATATGTACTCTAGCTTACTTCAACCTTCATCATTCCTTTCCTCTGTAACCTCTATCACATCCTTCTCACATATAACCAACAACTGATGGAAAATATTATTGTCTGGAGGCAGCTGGGTGGCTCAGTGAGTTAAGCGTCTGACTCTTGCTTTTGGGGAAGGTCGTGATCTTGTGGTTCGTTAATTCAAGCCCCTCATTGAGCTGCACGTTGACAGGGAAGAAACTGCTTGGGATTCTCTCTCCCTCTCTCTCTGTCTCTCCCCCACTCACTCTCTCTGTCTCTCTTGAAATAAATACATAAACTTAAAAAGTTTTTAAAGAAAATATTATTGTCCAAATGTAGCTTTTTTTGAGTAAAGGGGAAGTCTTTAAAGATGATAATATAAGAGGCCTTAAATTTCCCTCCTCCCCAAATTAACAGCTACAGATGTTACAATTCCCTCTGAAAGAAATCAAGAAACTATCTGAGCAACTGTTATACATTGAGCAAATGAGAAAACTAACCACACTGAATCACAGAAAAAGCTAAGACAAAACTTTGCCATAAAATTTACAGTTGGGAAGAAACTCCTGGCTACCAGCTTCTCCATGAGGTATGGAAGGTTTATATCCCCCCCCCCACCATCTAATGTCCCACCGTTTAATAGTCCCACTAGAGGGACAGGCCTCCAAGTCCTCTGGCTCCAAAGGTCAATGAGTCTTATATCACAAGAGTCATAAGACTATAGCAAATAAAATAGGAGATGCAGCTATCACACCAGGGCTCAGAGCAGAGATAATAGAAAAGACCATTCCTCAGTCTTTTCCTGAATGAGATTTATTTGTACAATTTAACAGACTGAGGGTCCGGCTTCTGATTTTGCATGCTTCTAGGGGCTGACTGGGATCCTCCCTGGACCCAAGGAGCCTGTGGACATGTCCCCAACTCTCTCCCTCTTGCCAACTCCAAGTCACCAGTATCTTCCTGGAAGGAATTTGTACACATGTCTGCACCCCAGTTTTTGCAGCTGCCATCCGAAGAACGTGTTCCCAGATCATCTGACTACAATAGCCAACAGGGTTTCAATTCAGAAATGTCACAGAATTTTGGGGGCACCTGGATGGCTCAGTGAGTTAAGTATCCGACTTCAACTCAGCTTATGATCTCACGGTCTGGGAGTTCAAGCTCCACACTGAGCTCTGTGCTGACAGCTTAGAGCCTGGAGTCTGCTTCAGATTCTGTGTCTCCCCCTTTCTCTGCCCCTCCCCTGTGTCCACTTTGTCTCTCTTTCTCAAAAATAAATATTTTTTAAAAATTAAAAAAAAAAGAAATGCCACAGGATTTTAAAATCAATTCAGGTAACTTTTCCAACCATAATAGTATGAAACTAGAAATCAAACAGAAGACAAGAACTGGAAAATTTACAAATATGTAGAGATTAAACAACATGTTCTTGAAAAAAAACAATAGGTTAAAGAGGAAACCAAGAAAGACTTCAAAAAATCTCTTGAGACAAAAATGGAAACACAGCATATCAAAAGAAAATGCACCAAAACCAATTCTAAGTGGAAAGTTATAGTGATAAAACAAAGATCTTGGGGTGCCTGGATGGCTCAGTTGGTTGAGCATCAGATTTCAGCTCAGGTCATGATCTCACTGCTCAAGTGTTTGAGCCCCATGTAGGGGTCTGTGCTGACAGCTCAGAGCCTGGAGCCTGCTTCAGATTCTGTGTCTCCCTCTCTCTCTGCCCCTCCTCTCCTCATGCTCTCTCTCTCTCTCTCTCTCTCTCTCTCTCTGTGTGTGTCTCAGAAATAAATAAACATTAAAAAAAAAA